CCCCAGAAATAGGGAGAAATCATTTGCTGTAAAACACTTTCTGAATCTAGAGGCACTAAGAATTTATCCTGTTTTCTCGTGGTAAAACTCCAGGCTAAATATATTTTCCCAAAATTGCCTTTTTTGTTGTTGTTTTGTTTACCACTACCCCCTCCCCCACCTCCCCTCGCTTCTTCCCCTCCAAATGCTGTCCTAATCTCTTCAGGTGAACTTCCTCTCTCCTTGGCTGCTTGTACCAACCAACCTGAGGTGGTGGAATATCTTCTAAACAATCCCCACCAGAAAGCCAGGATCCAGGAGCAGGATACACAGGGCAACACAGTGCTCCATGCACTGGTGATGATTGCAGATGATACCGAGGAGAACACCAAGTTTGTGAGCACAACCTATGTTGAGATCTTGAAGGCAGGTGTGAAAGTTGACCCATCGTGCAAACTGGAGGAGATAGTGAATTATGATGGATTAAATCCTCTGCAGCTTGCTGCCAAGACGGGCAAAGTGGAGGTAAAGACAGCTAAAGAGAATTGGTGGGGTTGCTGAGAAACAGGTGGGGCTGCAGCATGCATCTTCAGCATAGCAGGGTTTGATGCAGCAGCCTCTTGCACCCAGCTCATAGTAATGCTGTGGACAGTGGCAGTACCTAGAAGACATAAATGAGGCTTCCTCTAGGCTACTTCTGTTACGGTGCCCTACACAGCCACAACTGACCGCTGCTACTTTCTCTCCCAGCCAAGAGAGCTAGTCTGGTTTGAAATGAGTTTTACTCCTGGAAGACTTGATACCAGGTTTAGTTAGGTGTCTGGTGTTTGGGTACAACAAAGCGTATAATGCAGAAAGCAAGGTGATCTGTATTTGAAGGTAACTTGGGTATGCTTGGGTCATTCCACGTCTTCATTACATAAACACTCTTCTGGTGTGCATCCGATTTCTCTTCAGATCTTTAAACACATCATCCAAAGAGAGATCAAAGATCCAGAGTACAGGCACCTGTCACGCAAGTTCACTGAATGGACCTATGGACCTATCCATGTGTCTCTCTATGACTTGTCCTCTATTGACAGCTTTGAGGAAAACTCTGTGCTGGAGATTCTGGCCTACAGCAGTGACACACCAGTGAGTGCTTTTACCAAGAGTCAAAGATTGTAACCTTTTTTTCTGGCTTTTTTCAGTGTTGCTGTATAGTTATGCAAACCATTTCAAGTTCATGTGGTATTTCAGATGATCGTGGGAAAGAAATGCACGATGACATATTTGCATATTTTTAAAATTTATAAACTGCTTAGCATGCCTCTAATCGGTAATAAGAGAGAAATTTTGGATCCTTTGGTTGTCCTAAGCCTGGATGTGTCCAAATACCTTGATGGAGCCAAGCAGAAATGAGTTCCTATATGATGGTTGATCTTTTTCATACTGAAAAGCCTGACTGAATAAACCTTTACGTATGCCCTAATTGCAGCCATTGAACTCCAGTCCTGAAAAAGACAAAAGACAATCCTTGATGATTGTGCATTCCTGTTGACACACAGGTGCTTCTTTAAAATTTTATTTATTTATTTTTGCACAGAATCGGTACAAGATGGTGGTTTTGGAGCCACTGAACAAACTACTTCAGCAAAAATGGGAAACGTTTGCTTCCAAGAGATTCTACTTCAGTTTTATTTCATACTTGTCATTCATGATCATCTTTACAGCCATTGCCTACTATCAGCCTTTAAGGGTAAAGGTAGGCCCCTTATTCTTTAAACTAGAAAGGCCTGAATGGATGCAGCCGAAGTTATAAAAGGCTCAGGATGGCTATCACAACTACTTCTGTCTTTCTTCACTGTTTTTGTTTTTGTTTTTATCTTGCAGCCTTCATTTCCAGTGGAGTTCACAGCTGGAGGCTTCCTGTGGGTCTCTGGACTGATCATTATCTTGCTAGGAGGCATTTATCTAATTTTTGCTCAGGTATGAGGATCTCTTGCCTAGCTACACTGTAAGAAAGAAAAACTGTCACTGACAAAGGGGCAGCAGATTCTATTACCCTGACATCAGGATGTGCACAAGTGTGGATGGCAAGGAGGAATCCTGCTCTGAGACACTGTGTCAGTGGGATTTAGCACTGATAGGGTGGCATAAGCCAGCGTGCTGGGGAAGGTGAAGAATAGGGTGACAGCAGTAAACAATTAGGAGACACTGTTGTGATTTATGGTAGTAAAATGCATCCTTAGCATTTGATGCAATCTATTAATAATGGCATAGGGAAACGCCATGATTCAGCCCTTGCCCCTTTTTAAATGTAGGCTTTACTTTCATCTCTGAAGGGTGATTAGCTGAAATTTGGGATCTTTGGAATGAAAGCAGGAGAAGGAATGAGCAAACCTCTCCACTGTGCAATAGGTTTTGCCAGGCAGAATTCAGTCTCTAGCATGCCCTATTGTTGTAATGAACAGCTACCACTGATTTTTCTCTATTAGAGTCTGTATCTGCGGAGGAGACGCCAATCTCTGAAGACTATGTGCTCTGACAGCTGCATTGAAATTTTGATGTATGTCTCTTGAGATTTTTTGGGCAATGAAAGCACAGGTGAAATTGGTTTTCTGCTGTGGGCAGCTAAGTTGCCATAACATTACTAGAGAGATGGTGAGCAGGAAAGATTTATTCTCTGCCACTATCTCTTTCCATTCCCTCCCTGCTTGTTGTCCTCGTGTTACATCTCGTCATAACCCTTCATTGTGATGGACAATGCTAGGTAGGGTCTGTCTTTGAGTTTGTACGTTATGTGACACAGTGGAGGCCTGATCCTCAGTTATTCTATAGTTAAGAATTTATACTTGTAATAAAAAGAGTTGAAGGATTTAACTGTACAGTTACTGCGGCTCAGATTTGGTCTAAGGGAAAATAACTTGCCAGTTTTCTGAGGAGAAATGTGCATAGATGCATGTGTGTGTGCATGTATGTGTACATGTATTCATAAAGGTTATGATTCTTTTCCATTTTATAGCAGTACATGAGCTACATAAGCAGTTAAGAGTTTCCATACTGTGAGATTAACTAGTTCATAACAAACCTGCAATAACTTGTGGGTTTGGTTATAACAGGATTTGCTTATATAAACTAAGTGCCTGATTAACTGCTGCTTTATATGCTCCATGTAGCCTGGTAAAATGTGTTTGCTTTTCCTTTGTTTGCTTTTCCTTTTAAAACAGAAAAGATTTGCAAATGGGCCTTTTTGTGGGGGTAAGTCCACTGTAACTAATTCTGCTTCTTTCCAGCTTCATCCAGGCATTCTCATTGCTGTTGTCAGCAGTGCTGTATGGTGCAAGTTCAGAAAACTATGTGGCAGTGATGGTTTTCTCCCTGCTTTTGGGATGGGTGAACATGCTGTATTACACACGTGGCTTCCAGCGCACTGGGATTTACAGTGTCATGATACAGAAGGTCAGTACCCAGAAACAACCTTGAGTGAAAAGCTTTTAGGTGTGAGGAACTGGTAAAAGTCCTGCAGTTACTTTTCCTCTCTCAGGGACCATTAAAACCATAAATGAAATTGATGTATTGACTCTGGAAATAAAGGAATTGGAGAAGGAGACTAGATCGATGTCTTCAAGGAAGTACAATTGAGGCAAAACACTGGTTTGTTATCTTTGAATATAGCAAATGGGAAAACCTGACACTGCCAAAAAACAAAACTAGCAGTCACAACCAATACGAGTTTTCTGGAAGTGTTAAACTTGGGTTGAGAAGTATTGCCAGATCCATGTAGGAGCCTCAGACTAGTAGAGCTGACGAAGCGAAGGTGAAATGAGGTGCCAGGGAAGGATTCTGATCCCCATCTATGTGAAATCCAGTAGATACAAAACAGCTCTATGTGTTGCAGCAATCTGGAAACGGCCAAACATGATATTTATTTGTTTCAAAGAACCAATTCATACAAACATAACAACAAATGTTTTTGTGGTGCTCTCAAACTAAGCTCCAAACACTGTTACTTAGCTGAGAAAGTAACTTAGCACATACTACTGGTTTCTTAAACTGGATAAAAGCATTTCCTAACTTGCTTTCAGTATTGGCATTGTTACTGGGGTTTGTTTTCTGACAGCTATGATAACAGGAGATCATGCTGGTGATTTAATGTGAGATAAAGACATTGCCTCCTGCTTTGTGTTTCAGACTATCCTGAGAGATCTGCTGCGTTTCCTCTTGGTTTATATGATCTTCCTCCTTGGCTTTGCTGCTGGTAAGGACTTACTCAGCATCATGGTACAGGCTGGGCTACAAGAAGTAGATTTTTCTGAGGAGGATTTAAATTCTGTTTTTCTCATAGCTCTGGTTACCCTGATGGGGGAGGCTCCTGCAGTCTCTCAGAACAAGTCTGTTGCTCAGATGGAGGATGCTGGGAGCCATGCCATGTACGGCGGGCTATTTAGTGTCTCTCTGGAGCTCTTCAAGATCACCATTGGGATGGGCGACCTGGAGTTCCAGGAACATGCCAGATTCAAATACTTCGTGATGCTTCTGCTGCTTCTCTTTGTGATCCTCACTTACATTCTTTTGCTCAACATGCTGATCGCACTCATGAGTGAGACTGTCACTGATATTTCTGGCTATAGCAAGAGTGTCTGGAAGCTGCAGGTGAGACACTGTGCTGCTCAGCAGTCATGTCATGGCCCAACCTCCTACTTGATTCTCATAATATCAGAGATGATTTTGTGTGTGTGTGTGTGTGTGTGTGTGTGTGTGTGTGTGTGTGTGTGTGATAAACCTCATTTTCCTGATGTGGACTTCTACTTTCAGAGAGCTATTGCTATTCTAGAAATAGAAAAGGCTTGGCTGTGGCGCCAAGGTGGAAAGAGGAGATCTGGCTGCTTCCTTTCAGTGGGCCTCAATAAGAAAGATGAGAGATGGTGTTTCAGGTAAGACGGATGTACTGCTATCCCTTATGCCCCATCCTAGTAATGGGGTCCCTTGCTTATTAACCTGGTAACCATGAACCACCACAAGGAATTGCAGCACTGACTCAGCACAGCAACTGAACCACGTTGTCTTGGACACCTGCAAAGTGTTTGGTTGTTGCTATGCTGGAAGTTTGAGAGCTAGTTGAGTCCCCAGCATTGTCACCAAGATGTAGCCTGTTTAACCCACATGCGTGCAAGTGGTTACAGCAGCAGGCTGCCTGCACTGATGGTTTCCCTGCCCCTGCTAGCATAGCTGTGCCCAGAGAGGGCTGTAGTGGAAAAGAAGTAGGCTGATATGCCTTAGCTCAGTAATATGCAACATGAGTGCAACACGAGGGGGCAGCACTTCTCCTCTCATATAGGGGCTGGGAGAGCAAATTAACCTTTCTTCATCCAGCGAAAAAAACTGCAGGCAGCACTTCGGTAACTCCAGAGTGTTATGGGTTGTATAGTCCTATGGAGTATGTGTAGAGAGTAGAATCTAGGAGGCTCCTTTTGTATTAAATGTATTCCCTGGGAGGAACTGCAATACTTAAAAAAAAAAAAAAAAAAAAAAAAAAAAAAAAAAAAAAAAAAAAAAAAAAAAAAAAAAAAAAAAAAAAAAAAAATTAGACCTTCACACAGCACACTGGGGGAAGAGATATTTACATCAGATATTTACAGAGCTTAAACTACAGACGATCTTTTCTCAAAAAAAGCTCTGCAGGTTGTTGCAAACTATTAGCACTGTGCTGACAGGATGAAGTTGGATTGGGATGTTGCAGGATAAGGAGATCTGGACTGAAGTGCTCTAGGCATCAGTGTCTGTTGTGTTTTGTCTCTCCAGAGTAGAGGAAATTAAATGGACAAATTGGGCAAAGGAGGTGGGAGCTCTGAAGGAAGACCCTGGTAACTCCAATGATTCAGAAATAAACCCAGAAGGTAAGACATACCATGAAGAAAGGTCTTTAGCATCCTTTTGGCTTCCTGCTCAGCAAGGACTTTTGGCATGATGTTATGTCTTTGGATGGAAACATAAATTTTAGGTAGGCCAGTTTGCTCGTGAAATTGCTTCCACACAGCATCCCTCAGGAATAGCAGTGTCACTTGTGAGAATCAGAATAGGCTTGTACCTGACTGGAGTTTGGGAACAAAAGAGGTGCCATTCCTATTTCTCTGTAATGGAAATGTACAGGAAACACTACTGAGAGAAGCAAGGGCTGTTCTTCCCTTTGACTCAGCCCTGTAGCCCAAATGCATCATGCTTTTGCAGGAAAGGTAAAATTTAGGCCTACTTGTAATGTAAGTGTTAAAAATCACAGGGCATTTACAGCACAAATCTGGGCATTAACGCTGCAACTGTTGTCAAATTCTACCTTAGATAATTGTGTTTGCTTCCCTCTTTATGCCTGGGAAGCAGCTCTGTGCGGAAAACAGAGAGCTGCTATTTTTCCTAGAAATATTTTGTTTGGTCTGGCAGAACTTGGGCAGAAGCTTCACCAGAATTAAGCACAGCCTCCTGCTCTTCCACCATAGTTTTTTTCCAGATGCCAACTTTTTAGGAGTGAGAGGTTATGTTTAAAATACTGTCTGATGTTTGCTGGGTTTTCCCTAAATCTGCACCCTTCTAAAAACTGGATCCCTTTGTTAGCTTCATGCTGACAAAGTGCTGCTGTTTTTGTGTCTCCTACTATAGAGACAAGATCATGGAAACGGATGCCACAGAAACAACTGAGATCAGCTGTTCCAGAGGAGCAGTCACCATTGCAGCCCCAGCTATCGGCAACTGAGATGATGCCTCTAGAGGGACAAACTAGAAATCTTTAGTGGGATTTCTGGATTGCAGCCTTACTCCCATCTGTAAAGGAGTTCTTCCTGTAATGGCTGGAAGAATTGAAGGCATTATCAGTATTAACATGCATTTCATCAAAGACTGGTTCAGCCTGTGGCTTTAAATATTTTCATGCACTTTATTTCCTCTGAAGAAATTATTTTTACTCAACTTTCTTTACCTGACACTTATTACAATGTCTAAATGTGCAAGAATGAGAACAAAATCACAGGGGCAGTGGGGAGTGGTCTGTGTCAGGGAAGGCAGTGCTTTGTGAGCTATATAGAAATAATGCTGTTTGCCATACAGAAGTAAAGGATTGCGTGACCCATCTGAGAACAGGCTGACTGTTATCCTCATGTCACAAGAGGTTGCACTGAAGTGCTTTGGAATAGAGAGCGTTGCAGAAGCATAAAATATTGCAGTATGGAGATGGCTTCAGCGCAGAACGCTGATGTGAGATGTGTGGACAAACGTTCAGGCTTCGGTCATCAAGAGCCACATAACGGTCTTTGTCTCAGTACCTGCAGTGCTGGGTGTTTAGAACGTATCAGAATTCCCATTTTACAGGAAGGTAATTAAATCATTTACACAACGTGCTCATTTTCTTAACAGCACAAAAGTGGTATGAATTTCTTGAAATTGTAACTTAGCAAGCCAAATTTCTGAAACATCTGTCTTCCACTGATTGTGTCTGTAGAAGACAGCAGTGGAATCCTACATGTATGGCTTCTGAAAGATAGATGGGCCAAAATGTGTAATGTGGTTAACATTTCCTGTCAGTCTTACCGGGCTTATCTTGGCCTAAATGACTAGAAGGACTTTGTTGTTCTTTGTAATATGCACACTGCTCCAGACAGGATGGGAAACATGCTTTAAATTCTGTGGAAAAAGGAAAAAAAAAAAAAAAGAGCTATCACACTTTCAGCTCATGTTTAAAAATAATGGTTGAAGTATTGTAAACTATTAGTTTAGCAACTTTACTTAATTGAAAGTGTGCATCCTTGGATGTATTTTAAGACCTTCAGCCTCAAAAGGAAGAGATGATGTGAACAGTGGTGACTACAAGGCATTATCAAACTGCTGATTGCAGTTCATGCATCACTGTGCTGACCTTACTGCCATGCTACTGAACTGTTATTTTTTGTGAACTCATGTCAGTTTACGCAGCCACATCTGAAGCTGTAAGAGCCTAGCCCTGGTTTTTGATGCATCTTTGACAGTGGGAATAACGGTCAGGGATAACCCTGAAAAAGTTGTAGGCTAAAAATTCTGGCAACACCTTCCCTTCAGGAAGATGAACTGTGCAATCCTAGATCTTCCTGTCTAGTCTGAGCAAGTGAAACTAGTAGGCCTATCTTTTGGAGATGACCATTTTAATTCTGTGGCTTACTACTTTCACATGACTGGCAGCAAAAACATTGCTGTTAAAAGTTGTTCCCTGCCTCAGCATTTCCAACAGGTTCTTCCCTTGTGCTGGGCAGTGGCCTCTGCAGCTTCACTGCACTGGGTTTCTGGGTTGTAACTGAATTTTCTCACTTCAGCTTCTGCTGTTTTCTTGCTTTGTGAAGCCTCCAGCAGCTTTTTCCATCTATGGCTTTGTCCTAAGTATTACCAAGATTTGGCAAGGTGCTCAAGTTGCACAAAAGGATTGGTCAACACATGGTGATCTATTGCTGTGCTTGATATTTTGCTGTGGTAGGGACGCTTTGAGATTCTCAAGAAATGCAGAATCAAATCTGCCACCCCTGCCTGGAGTCTTAATAAACAACAAAAGAGAAATCACACTTGTTGGTAGTGTTTTTGATAGCTGTGGGCTGTGACAGCTTGCTTTCAAGGTAACCTGCTTCGGTGGCCATTCCTTGAACCCACTGCTGTTTAAATCACTTTGTTTACAGTGTTAGTTTTTCTTTTGATCTGCATCAAAAATGCTCTCAAAGATCAAGACTCTGTTATTCCTTGTGCTTTATAATCATGCTACAAAACACTGGTCTAAGCCCTCTTCTGTCTGTCATCCTTCACTTGTGAGCTTCAGACAAGGACAGGGAGATGCAGCAAGCATCTGGCTGGGTTGGTCAGGAGGCTGAGCAGCGCCCAGGCTGTTGTACACTTCTTTGTGGTCATGGAAAAAGGACAATTTTGAGGACTTATGATCTCTCTGCAGTGGCGTCCTTCCTATAAAGCTGAGATAGGTCAGTACTCTTGAGAAGATTAACATCAGTAAAGCATTTTGAGAAGAACCTCCAGTTTTCTATATCCTTAACTGATGCAGAAGGCATCTAAGCATCTAAGCCACTTCCCACTTTGGTCATGTTACAAATAGGAAGGCTGTCTGGGGTTTACTTTGTGGGATTTCTGCAGTTCCCTGCAAGAGGAAAGACTTAGGTGCTGGTTCATATCTTTGAAGGCCTGACAGGATTTTGGGGTCTGCTATGAATAGATGATAATGTTTTGTCAGGACGTACCTCAGTCATTTACGTAAGAAATGAGTGACAGATAAACTTACCCTCTCCCTTCTACTGCCTGTGACGGGTGACCTCAGCTGCATGGAGCCTCCGTCTCAAATCCCTTCCTGTGCAAAGTTGGGAGGCTTTGCAGTGCTCTCAGTTGATGAAAAGGAAACCTTTCTCAGACCTCAGTGAATGAATAAGTGCAGTTTCTCTCCTCAGTCTATGCTGAATGTACAAGCCACAGAGACTCTGAGGGTCTCCTACACCACTGAGAGAAGACACCAGCAGCTCTCACTGTTTTTCATTCAGTTATGGATGCTCAAGCCCTCTCATGTAATTTGGCCAAAGTTGCAAGCTGCATGGCAGGGCTGGAGGAAGAACTGAGATCATGTTGTTTGCGAACTCTTCCTCCTCTACCTGATCACATTTTACCTAGTTATTGCTCCTTGTGGCCTCTATACCAGGCTCCAGGTGTCTCCTGCTCAGAGTGATCTTGCTGATGATCTGCACAGTTTTCTTAAAAGAGGCTTCATGCCTGATTTCTGCATTTCCCAACTCCCCACAAGGCCATTTTCCTCAGAGATATCAGGTTTGTTCTTGTCCTTCCTCAAGTGCTTTGCTCATTTAATTTTACTGCCTTGTCCCCTTCCACTTTTTTTTCTTTAAGCATGCTCTGAGGCTGATGAAACCAGCATGGGGAGGTATATCTGTGCCTCAGTCGATCCACTCTCTTCATCTCTTCATGACCCCACTTGTACCTTAGCATACTTTCCATTGTCTCTCTTTATAGCTTGCAAAAAGAGTCTTTGAAATGTGACAAGCAAAGGGCTCAGACAAAGAACAGATGCTTCATATAAGTCTTCATGAGCTGTTTCTGAAGCGATGCAGCTGGCAGATTTCGTAGCTGGCCTGTTCCTGCAGCTAGCAATGAGGTTTGCGGTAGCTGTGAATCAGTTTTATTCTTCCTTGCCTTTTTCAAAAAATTGCATTTGTTACTCTAGGACTGAAAAAGTAAATGAAATTTGAAATATGATATTTTTAAAGAATACTGTTCCATTTTACCATCTCATGTCTGCTTCAGCAGCACAAGTAAAAGTGGCACCAGATAGGACCAGCACCAGAAAGTGTGGGTGTGACTGCCTCATGGTTGGCATATAGCTGTTATTAAAATAGTTTCTTCACTTTCTCTTTTGAAGTAATCTTTCTCAGTTCAGATATCTGAAATGTGGAGTACAGTCTTTATGGAGCATGAGGTTCTTTGATGATTGTCTAATGTTAAACCCAGGGAGCCCTTGGAAGAAAGGAGCTGGAGGTAGCCAGAAAGTGTGCATGTGGCTTTTTTTAGTGCTACGTTATTTTCTGAGAATGCTTGGAAAGTTTACACTCCCTGGGGCAAAGACCACTGTGTCTTTAGAACAGCTTTCTTCCCTTTCCCACCCCCAGTCTTTCTGAAGGATTTCCTATGCAGTTAACTCTTCTGAGGACTCACTCAACATTTGCTGGTTGAGCTCACTTAAGCAGTTGTAATAACAACACCCTGCAGCCAAATAACATTTGCTGCACAGTACTCTGATAATACAAACTGTCATGGACCAGTTCTGTGCAAGTCTGGTCCAGTCTGGGGACAACAGTGCAGAGGGATGAGGGATCATTAGAAGCCAAAGAATTATTGGTAGAGAGGGGTGGAAACATTCAGGATCACTTAACTGGCTATCCTGCGATAAAATGTCAGTGTTTCTGATAATATACTAAATAAAAAGGGAACACTGGTTCTGCGTTGGGGGGTGGGGGGGGGAACTTGTGCCTTAAAAAATAGCTATGATGAGAGGCATCTGAGAACTGACATTTCTTAAATCCCTGCTATGAGTTCACTCAAGTGGATCTGTTTGCACATTTTAATGGGATGTGGAATGTCCATATGGCAAGGAGAAGGTAGTCAATACAAACATAGTGCCTAGAGGCTTTTCTAGACAGATCCTATTGCTCTAGATATACTCTAGATGCTGGTAGACAGAAATGGAGACACTGCTAAAAATTGCCACTCAGTAACCTAAGTTTACCTAAGCAACTTTTTGCATCTGCAGTATTATTTAAATGTCACTAGTATACGCCTTGAAACCTCAGTTAGGAAATCCACAATAGAGTGACTTTGTCTCAGCAAGCAGCATGAGACCTGCAGACCTGGAGCATCGTCAGAGGAAGAGAGCAGCTTTCGCCTGGCTGTGTCTCAAGACCTGCTTTCTTCATCTTAAAGCTGGGAATAATGATATCCCTCCTGTACCTATTCTTCCTAATGAGTGAGTCTTATCTCTATATTTATTTTCATGAAATAGGAAAAAAAAAAGTCTCAGCCTAGAAACAAAGCAATTTCTGGAGACTTATATCAGTCCCTTTTTGTGAGCCAATAAAATAATTCTTGTGTAAGAAGTTCAGGATGTTGAGACTTGTATGGAATATAAGTCCTTAATTAGGGTTTTTCTACTGTTTCAGAGGAATTCATACATTTGAGTGGAGAGAGTTTTATAGTGCTCAGCCTTAGTGGGAGAAAAGTGATTGCTAGGTGAAATTCCACTCTCAAATACAAAACTAAAAAGCCATATTTGGCCTTTTATACTTTTTTATTTGTTTGTCTGTTTACTTGTACTGAAATAGCTGAGAGTAGAATTTAGATTAACTTTTTTGTTTGTCATTTGAGATGCACCTTGCATTAAGCAGGCTGTAATTCTAGAGATTCATTTCCTGCAGATTTTTGGCTTGCTAATCTCCTGATCAAATGCTCTAGAATATGTAGGATTTTTTTAAAGAAAATTCAGAAGACTTTCATTTGGGAATAAGAGTTTGGGTAAAGTAACACGTAGATGTGAATTAGGAGTGTTTTCTGAGTCAGAGTCTGTATCCATGTTATTCTGTTTTGTAGCCCTGCAGGGACCATTCTATCATGAATTTGTCTTAGCTGCTTGGCCTGGAAAGGGTACATGCTTACCACTGCTACTCTGTTAGCTCGCACAAAGGGTAACTGTATCGTGGATGTTACTGGCCCCCTTCTACCATCTACACAAATAAAGGCTAGTGGGATTCTGTGTGGTAGAATTTCTATTTGCCTAGTCTTCTTTTCAAAAACCTCAATGCTATATCTAGTTACTTAATCTGTACTGAAAGAATATTATTTCTTAATTAGGTATTCATTTAAGTGTTCATTTTATGCCTTGAGGATCTGATCAGCCTCACAGGCTTTCTGGCAAGCTTTGTGCTTCCAGTGTGTTTTGAAAAAAATTGTTATGAATTTTATTCTTTTAATGAGATGTCCATCAAAGTCCCTCTAACTTGATTTACTGTAATCTTACGTTTAACCTATCAAGGTTTATGCTCAACTCTATTTTCCTCATTTGGACTTGACGTCTATATTTTGTATGATGATGATTCTACTAATATCTTTGCTCTCGTGTTCAGCATTATGCTAGGTAACTCATAGCTTTCTAAACATATGAATGCTTAATGAATATGTATACAGTAACTTCTAAAATGTTTTCAACTCTTGACCTTTCTTGATTTGACTTACGCACATTCAACTACAGTGTAATTAGTGGTGGAAGCGTCTGTCTTTGTGTAGCTTTCAGTAGATCTTCTCTATCACTATTCTCTTCTGGCACCCTTTGTTTGCATTTGCGGGTTTTATTGTTGAAAGCAGTAGCGTAGAAAAGTGCAGCTGTCTGACCTGGTGGGTTTCAGTTAGTTTCTTAGAACTGAATCTCTAACACACAGCTATTTTTTTTCCAGTTTAAGTACAGCACAGTTAATTTGATAACTAGTGTTCTAAAACCCCTGAGTTGTCTGTATTGGAAATCCCTCTGAGCAAGGAGTCAGGAACAAAAAGTTTAAATGGCTTGGCCTTGCAGCATGGCAGCATCAGAGCTGAGCGCAGCGTTGAGGAGTCTCTGCTTCCCAGACCAAATGCCATATGAGCACAGGAATATGCACAAGAGTGAGGTTAGCTCCATGAATATCATTTTCTTTTTCTTCTCCTCAGTTGACTGGTCGCCTGCTTGAGAACTGTTTCTTGCTCCAAAGACAACTGAATTTCCCAGGGAACTTGTTCCAGGATATGTAGAATTCTATTTTTATTTTACCTTAAAGCGCTTTTGTTGTAAGCCTTTGTAAATATATGGTATTATTAGGCTGGTATTATTACAGTGGAGTTTTGCTGGTAACATGGGATTTGCAAAGCAAGGAGGTAGTTCAGGATGGTCTGCCTACCCTCTGAAAGGGATGCGTGCCATGTCTCTGAAGCACATTTGAGGAAGCAGAAGCAAAGGCTAAAATTTCACCATGATGTTTGCGTGTTTCGTGTCATAGCCCTGAATGTGGAATTTCACTTCTTCCATCTGTATATTAGTAGCTAGGCTGGGAAATGGTTTCTATGAAATTGGTTACATAAACTCAGATTCAGTTCTGAGTAACATGAGAATCGGGAAAGACTCTGGATAAATACAAAGACAGAGTCTGGCCTCTTGTTAGCGCATCAGAGACGATTTAAAAAATGCTAGACTATGTGTTTAAACACAGGCTCAATATACAGCTTCTAGGGTTGGAGTCAAGTCATTTAGAGCAGGAATTTTCGGTTGGAGTCATTTGTAAAATTTGGATTTTGAGTTAGAGACCAGAATAATTTGCACTCATTCTTGGGAATACTGTCGTGTTGTTGCAGGGTACAGTGACGCAGTCAGTTCAGTGCTCGAGTTCACAGCATTTATCTTAGTAGCTTGCCTTCTATGCCGTCTTACTTTGTGACATCTTCAGTCTGTCTCTTAGATTCAAATGCATGTTACGTTCCTAGGCTGTACGTTTACTGAAGTGTATAAGAAATCAAGAGCTGAGATGGTATTTTTTCCACTGAGCAGCAATAAAGGTTGGCTTGCCACAGAATCTGACAGCAGCAACACTAGACCCATTTTTTGTGGGCTGCCTTGTAAAAAGGAAGTGCACTTATGCAAAAAAACCAACCAACCAGTTACCTTTAGGATGCCAATTCAGTTACAGCTCTGTGAATAATGAGTAGAAGTTTTTCTCTTTTGATGGCTGCTTGATATCTACTGTGAGATGACTTGGACTTTTAGCAGAGCTGTGTCCTCAGCAGAATATCCATCACATTTGGCAAGAATTTGCTTTTTTTATTTTTAAACATTCAACAAAATCTACATTCTCCTCTCCTTACCAGGTTTATTTTATGACAGTAATGATCTTGTGAGGTACAATCACTGTTGCTAGGGTTTCAGTCTCCTGGCCTGTTGAATTATCAACTTTACAAGAAGTGAATCCACTGGTGAAAGATCCCTGAAGTGACACATCACTTGCACAAGCACCGGTGTTTTGTCTTCTCCTGCCTAAATGCATGTTTGAGCTCCAACTAGTAGCTGTGTTTTGTCCTGTTGTGAAAGTCCATTCTGGATCTCATGACAGGACCTTGCGTTACTTTATCTTCTATTAGTTTGGGTAAAAAATCCTTTTTAAATCTAAATCACTCAAATTTCCATAGCTTGGTAACTCTCCCTCCCACCAACTGTCTCTGTACTGTCTGAGTGGGCAGAGTTCAGGGATAGCTGGCTCAAGAGCCTGTGCTGTTAACTATGACTCTGCAGGTCACAGTCTGCTTTCATTTATTTATTTGTTTTCAGTGATCGAGTCCGTGAGGAGCTTTAATGTTGACACTGGCAAGAGGTGGATAACACCACACACAGCCTCTCTGTTGTGGCCCACAGTTCTTCAGCACTCGGATGGGAACACGACTGTGTAAGGAACAGAAAAATAAAAATACCCAGGTTTTCTAGATCTTTATGAGTAAGTGTGGCCTGAGGTCATGTGGTTTCTCATTCTCTAGAACTGGCAGCACAGGTGTCTCTGCCTGGGGCCCAGCATTGTTCCTGAGCTCTTAGGGGCTGATGAGTGGTATTAGAGCTTCATCACCAGTATGTGAACACTGTCAGCCTGTGAGCCTTTGCATTGCTTCTCATCACAGCTAAGTCATGGCATGGTGCACGCAGGCTGTCTGCTCATTTAACCAGATGACAGAAACAGCTGGTCTTCTGCAGTGCTTCCTGGCATACTGTGCGATATCTGGGTCTTCAGCAGTCACGCCACCCACCAGCTACCAAGAGATATGTTCTGAGCTTGGCCTGGAGACCACAGAGCTGGAAACTGCTGTATTTTGACTATTGGGTTTGTAGGGGAAGAGAACTGGATGACTGGAGTGGTGAATAGAAGCCAACCACAAGTGGTTGCTATAGAGATAATCTATATTATGCAGAACAGAGTGGTCAGGCTGCGTAGCAGATAGCATGTTTTAAGCTTTGAAGCAAATAAAGCAAAATCTTTCTTGCCCCCTCAGCAGAAAGTGGCTGACTCTAAGAACAGTCTCCATTTCATGCAGCAGTGCTGCCATTTCCTCGTGCTGGGTTTAGAACTTCTCTATGCACCTCAAGCCTCCCTTTACCTCTAGTATTTTATGGGCAAGTCACTTCCAATCCTCCTTCTTGATCTGGGCTAGCTCCTCTGATTTCATAGTTCAGATGTACTGCTACTTGCAGTGAGACAGAAGTAGGGGGTAAGAATAACTCCTCCTCTTCAAACAAGTTCAGTCAGTTGCCAAACTCCTAATTGCAATGAAAAAAGGCTGTCAAAGCAGAGGAGCTGCTGGCTGTAAGGTGGAAACCTCCCTTGCTAACAGCCCAGTTAGAGCCTAATCAGGACAACAGAGTGCTTGAGCAGGGGGGTTGGACTAGATGATCTCCAGAGGTCCCTTCCAACCTTGGCCATTCTATGATTCTGTGAGCGCAGCAAAGGAGAAGAACCTCCTTCCCCTCCTTAGGGCACTGAAAGAGAAGGCAAACGAAATATGGTGGATATTGTGCTTTCCAATGTCCTGTTTTCTAAAAGACAAAATTCTCTAGTGGCATCTTCTGGTGATGTCTGGGTGTTTAACCAGCTTGGAGCACTCCCACCGCAGAAATTTTTAGCTTTGGTACTGAAGCTTTAGATGAACAAATGAGAAAGGTGGTGATCTGTCAGAGAAAGCAAGTGTCTCCCTCTTAGTGGCTGGTTCAGTTCTAAAACACACTCTTACTGGTTAATTAAGAGACATATTGTCAGGGATGGCCACCCTGACAAACAGATTGTGCCTTTTCACTCTGCATTTGCAAGGATTTTGCTTGATTGTGCCACCTTTCAACTTTTTTTCTTGTTCCACAGGATTTTGGCTACTTCCTCAGTAGACAAGGGGCTGGGCAGGCTGAGTAAGTGCACTGTTTTGCAGGAAGAGATCCAGTGCCAGGAAATACCTTTGAGAGGTACAGTCCAGCTCCCCCTTCCCCATCCTTGCTTTGCCATGGTATGAAGGAGTGCAGAGATTGGGTGTTTCAGGGAGACCTGCGCATACTTGCTACATCCTTTAAGTCAGCACTTCATGAAGAAGAAATGCAGGCCCATTCTTGTCCCGGTGGTTGAGAGTGCTATATCTGGAGGCTGGAAGACCTCTTCTGCCCCAGTTAAGTCTTCACCTAAACTTTCTGAAATACAAGGAAAGGTTTTGTGTTTCCAGCATACTCAGCACTGCTAATGTTGCTGATGATAACTTTAATTTTGAGTCCTCCTTCTAAGTATAGCTATCCTCAGGAGTTGTAGCCTTTGTATTTCACTCTGTCTGCCTAAGGCTGACAAGTGCCACAGCCATTTCAATTCTGTTTTCACCTCTTCCTTCCTTCCTTCTTCATTCATTCAATCATTCATTCAATTTCAGGAAACATTAAAGGCTCCAAAAACATCCAGGATGGTGGCATAGCTATTAGACTGGATCCTGGTAAGGGACTGAGAACATCCTTGGCTGGGAAAGACTGGATTTTTGCGAAATGCTGTGTAGGTTTGCTGAGAAGTACAAATGAGCAGACATGATAGATGGACAAAGGCTGACAGGTCTCGGTGGGACATTGGCTGGTTGGTAAACCAGCTGATGTGTTGCCAGCCAGGAGAGCAATCTCTGAAGAGCTCTTCTCATCAGCTGAGGAGGGACTGCAGTGCAGCAGAAAAGGGAGGATAGGCAGAGGAGGCTTAGGAGAGCCACTTGGCTTCCGCCTAGTGCCTTTGTCTGGTTATTCCCCCAGCCCCACACCTTGTCACCAGCTCAAGGCTGAGGTCCTAAAGCAGAGGTCACATCAGGGCATGGTGGCCGCAGCTAGCTTTGTTACTCTCATTAGGAGGCTTTTAGTGCTGTGCAGGGGATGTTGAAGATTTGCCAGACACCATCTTTAGTCATCCTTTGCTCATTATTCATTAGCCTTCCCCACCATCCTCACAGGCTTGCCTGCAGAAGAAGCACCGCCGGGCCTTCACCACTACAGAGGACATAAATGGAGTCTGTACTCTGCTTACTCCTGACTTGCGCAGCACAGCTTTCCTCAACCTCACCAAGATAGGTATAGGAGCAAAGCCAGTACTGTGCCTCTCCAGAGGGACAGAAATAACAGCACAAGGCTCTGCTTTCCCAACATGACAGGCCTTCTGAGCCCCTAACGAGCAAGTTCTGTGGCCACTGGGAGAGACTCAGAGCTGAATGTTAACATGTGTTATAGACTTCAGCGGGGTTACATGTTCAGCCTTGCAGACAAGCGCATAGTGCCAAGGTTTTTCTGTTGTGGTGTCCTGTGCATCCAAAGGATGAAGCTCTTAAGCCTGCATGTAGGAAAGCACTGGCATTCTTAGGTAATGGATGTAATAGATATAGGGATTTTTAAAAGTGCCTGGGTGCTCAAGGCTGTTTCTTCCAACTTGACTAGGCTATTGTGGCCCTGACGGTCAAGGGAGCAGAGAGTTAGTCTGACTCTCTAGCCTTACTCTGCATGCAAAGAAGCTAAATTTAAATTAGACACCTGGATAGTCTGGTTCCATCTTCAGTTGTCTAACTGCTATTAAAAGTCTGACCCTCAGTCTTTCTGCAGATTTAGGAACATGGGTGGAAACATGATTAAGGTGTGTCAATCAGAAAAGTATTTTTAAAAGCTAGATAGTCTTTTCTTTTTTTGCTTTTTAAATTCTTTAGTTGAGACCAAATTAAACAGCCGTCAAAGTAAAAACAGCAAAACCGAGATTACTGACATCGACAGTGCTTGTGGTGAGCTCTTTGACCATGCAGGGAGCAGCCACATGTGCAAAGGTAAGTGCTGGGCACGAAGAAGCATCACTTCCTTGTGTCTTAGCTTAGTTTTAAGCAATTTGTATTCCTCTGGTGGGGGAGAGCTGAGGAGATAAAAGGTTGAGTTTTTGAAAGTAATTGGTAATAATGGCAAGTTTCAATCCTTATTGCAGTCATTGCCAACTGAGATTATCTAAACCTGTCACTGCAGTGTGAACCACATCCTAGACCTGCTTTCAAAATAGCTGGATGGTGCTGTAGTAAAATTTTTGGTTGTTTGATAACATTTCAATATTCTTGAGTCTTTGTAAATGTTAGGCTGCCTAGGTGTCTTTTCAAATGTCCTTTTATATTTAACTGCATTGACAGAACTGGCAACAGAGATTGCTGTCATTCTGGATGGATCAGAGAGCACCAAGCGAGATGATTTCCAAAATGCCAAGAACTCTGTCCTTAATATGATGAAGTCAATGTGGCAGAAATGCCCAAAGGTGTGTGAACCTCCTCAGTGTCTTGTAATCTGATAGGTAGGATGGACCAGGGCTCTAATGAACAATAGAAGCTCATAACTCTTTAGTTTGCAGAACTAAACTAATACTAACTAACAGTTTGCATAACTATTGCTTGTTAAATATCCAAAGTGATACTGGTAATCATTCTACATATTCTAGTGCATGAGTTAAATCTTACTGAGCCAAGGAGGAATAGCTGAAGAGGGTAGCAGAACAGCTGGGATTGGGTTTTCATGCCAGAGGCATGGTTAGATATTTTACCACGCAAACCTCCCAGGGCACCTTGAAACCATTAAACACAAAAATAAAGGCTGAGGTATCCAAGCCATTAATTTAAATGACTTAAAGCTTGGATGTGGGGACAAAGTGAACCACGTTGTCATGAAGTCTAGCAAGATAGATAAATACAAGAAGTTCAGACAGAAAAATCATTGTATTGAGCCAAAGAAGATGAAGTCAGCTCCTGGAGCTGATCCAGAAAGGATCACTAGAATACAAATGTGTGATGGACACAGAGGGATAAAGCTAACTGATCTGCTTACCATTTGCAATATCTGCTTTCTGTGTCTATGCAGCAAGTTTGGCACTCCATGCTAAATTTGGCACTCCAAGGAACTTCTTAGGCTTCCTGCCTTTAGATCTTGCCTAACCAGCTCTGGCTTTGCCATCTGCTTTCTCCAGATTAGGTTTGCCGTGATACAGTACGGAGCAGAGATCCAAACCGGACTGAGCCTGCAAGAAAGCTGCCACAGATCAGTTGCTCTCTTCAAGGTCCAAAGCATGAAGCAGCAGGGCTCCCAGACTGACATTGCAGCCACACTGCAGCATGTGCTGTGAGTTCATGTGTCCCAAGGACCTTCAGAAACACCTAGGCAATTGGTTGGGTCTCATGTGCATCCATCCAGCCTCCAGTACCTCCTCTCTCTATTCTTATTTATCTCACACCCTGAAAGCTCTCGCTCTTCCCTTTCCATGCTTCCCTTAGTGAGAGGCTCTCTTTGAGGGTACATCAGGTCTGACTTTGGCCTCCACTAGGAGAAATTGTCAAGAGGCAAAGCATGAGTTCCTCCTGGCTGGCATAGGGGCCTCAGAATGAAAATACATAGTCATCTGGTTCTTGCTTTGAGCATGCGTGTGTTTGTAGATTGAGGCCTTTCCTATCTTTATCACTGATCTGCTGCATCTCCCTGGCAGTCATGCTTCCCTTCTTGATTCCATTTTCTTCTCAGTAACATAATTCTAACAATACTGACGTCCTCTGTAAAATGTCCCATATACTGCTGGTGAAAGTGGTATGTAAACATACATACCACCAGTATGTACCAGCTGGGGAGAGCCAATGTCTCTGGAAAGCGTAAATCTATCTGTGAGTGAATGTGCACGTTTGCCTTGCATGTCTATACTGCATAAAATCTCTTGTGGGCGGGGAGCTCAATGAACATCAGCACCCTGCCAGCAACACTGACATTTCTAGCTCTGCAGGGATGGCTTGTCCCATAATACACCTCCAGGCTTGCGTTTCCACAGGGACAAAGTCTTTGATGAAAGCCATGGTTCCAGCTGGACAGATGACAGGATAATCATCGTCCTGGCATCTGGGCATGTGTTTCTGGATAATCACCGACTGAGAAACGTGATGAACTCCCTGGAAGTGGCTAAGGTCAAACTCTATGCTCCTGCGGTGAGTGGGAAGCAACATCAAAGCCACGCTGTTTTTCATCTAAAATAGGGAGTAATGTTTCCCTCCACCCCATGTCTGTCCTAATGCTTTAACAGTAGGTAGAAGAAAGAGTAGTCTTGCATTGGACATGCAGGACACCCGATCTGAGATGGCCAGGCTCCATTGACTTACACAGGCCTCCATCTTCTTGATGTCAGAGAGCTTATTTTGGAGGGGTTTAAGGAATATGTCCTAGAAACAAAGATGCTTAAGAGCATCCTGTGTCCTGTGGCTCTAGAGTTCTTATTACCTTTTTCTTTGCAAATAAGGGTTTTCTTTGGAATCTAGGATCAGGGCTGCTTTACCAAGCTTTCAGAAAACTGCCTCCCTTCTCAAGCTTGAGATCTTTAATGGCAATTTGGGAATTTGTTGTTTGTTCTTTTTTCTGTGTACGAAATGTGTTTAATCTCCCTAGCTGACGGCTTTTCTCCCCAGATTGGAGAGTTTATTAGCAATCAGTGGGCCCCAGAAGAGTTGAGAAAAGTTAGAAGTGACTGGTTCGTGCTGTCCACATATGAAGATTTTCACAGTTTCCTTTTAGAGCTGGAGAGGAATACTCTGAGTGCTTCAGGTAGGAAAAAGCTTACTCCTGACACACATCTATCTTCTCTGTAGCTTATAGAGTGAATCTGGGATGGTGAGCAAACAGTAGGTAGTTTCACTGCTCAAGGAATGTAAATACATCTCCAAGTCTTAGTCTGTTCTCGTAGTTACCTGCCCAGCAACAGCAAAACAAATACAAATGATCTCTGTTACATTAGTAGCAGTCATCTTAGCCAGCCAGCCCTGAGGACAAGAGATTGTATTCTGTATCTGTGATCTGCAACCATAATGTTGGTCTGGAAAGACGAGTGGGCTGCAATAGGGCCTTTACAATGCATCCATTCACCCTCCTGTTTAGAGCCTCTGTTACAAAAGTACCTACATTTCTAGGTGCACTCACAGCAGTTTATTTCTGTTGTAGCTGAACACAGGTTTAAAATGAAGTCCTGCTCCCCACAGACTTTAAAACAGACAAAGATTTCCATAGCATCTGTAGTCTTGAGCCTGAAAACAATATGATCCATTATAGACTGCAAAGATGAGAAACAGTTCAGCTGCCAGGCAGCAAGGTCCAGGAGAGATGCTCTGCAGGTACACTGTACAGGCAAGAATGCAAGGTTTTACTTCACCTTTTGCTTTCTCTCCCACTTCCCTGTCAGTTACCCTCAAACTTGTTTCTTGTTTCAGCTGAAAATGTTCCAACTGAAGCACTAAAGTATGGAAACATTAATGATGATGATGGCAAGCTCCCTTCCTGGATGGAGAAAGACAAAGAGGAGGAGGAGGAAAATGACTTGCGTACGTCAAGTATCTTTTAACAGAATCAAGCTGTAGACTGTCATGGATTAGCAAAATCCAGGGGGTGGCTGTGCTGTGAATTTCCAGAGCTGAGCTGTGGTTCACACTGAAATGACACACACCTTGGCAGTCTGATGCAATTCAGTTGTTTGTTGGAGTGAGATTACTTGTGCACGGATTGATAATACTGGTTAAAAAACTTGGTTCTGAGCAAGATCGCTGAACTCCTGGGAGCCTTCTCCTCATTCATTTACTTTCCATATCCTGGCAGGCTCTGGAACAGAGATTGTTTTTATTTTGGATGGATCAGGGAGCATTGAGCCAGAAGATTTTGAAAAAGCAAAGGCCTTCATCCACAAGATGATGAAAACACTGTATGAGAAGTGCTTTGAGGTACTCCCTACTCTCTTTCTTTAGCTGGCTAAAATGCAGAGGATGCTGTGCTTCATTTAAGCTGCCTTTTCACCAGAATTTGTGACTGTGCAGGTTTATTTCCATTAGGATGGGAAATCAGTTCCACAACTCGCATGTGTTCTTGACATAATTTTGCTTACATCCTAGCAATAAGTTCTCAGTCTTGATCCCAAGAACACTAGAAATAAAAAGTTTGTGTTTTGAATGTTCAGCAATCCCTAGCTCTGCTACTCTATCATACTTGAAGCCCAGAGAGCACCATCTCTGCTTTCTCTTAAGGTGACAGCCGTGACTGTTTCTTCTGGCTTTTTGTCTCCATTCCTATATTATAATATCTATATCTGAAGTGACAGAAGCACTGATAAGACTGCCAGATGCCTTGTCAATCTCGTTATCTGCAGTCGCTTACTCTGCATGAACGTACCCTACTGCTTTCTTTGCTGAGGTTGAAGACATTCACCACCTTTAGCAAAGTCTGTAACTCTCGCATGCCCAACTATCAGGATATTTCAGATTTCTGTTGGGATTTCTGGGCTGGTTGTTGCATAGAGCCCTAATTCTCTGAATCAACAGTTGTCAGTAGCAAGTGCTTATCTGCTGCTTCCTTACAGTGTGATTTTGCAGTGGTGCAGTACGGCTTTGAAATCAGAACTGAGTTTGACCTGCGAGAAAACTGGAATCCAAATGCCACCCTCCAGAAAGTTCTTGATATTGTGCAGGTGTGCAATGTGACCAAAACAGCATCTGCCATGCAGCATGCCCTGTAAGTAAGAAAAGAGGGCCTAAGGGATGAAGGGGATGAATTTATGAGGCATTTCTTGAGAAAGGTGGATGGACTTCTATGGACATTCAGGTCCTGAAAGCAGTCCCATTTATCTGGTAATGGTTGACTGGCAGGCAGCAACACCTGCGCCATGTGTTAGAGGGCTGTAAAGGCCAGCTGTCAGTGCAGTGCCTAATTCTTGATGTGAGGTGGGGGATGGGGGACTCGGGAAATGATGAAAGGGGTCAGCACCCAGAGAAGTGCAAGAGAAACCTGAGGAACAGAACCAGAACTTTGGGCTGAAATCTCTTAGGCCTCAGCAGTAAGGAAGGCCTGAGAACTAAGAATGGTGTCTAGAGCTTTTTTAGCAGAATCAACTGTGTGCCCAAATCCAGCCCATTAGCAGTTATGAAAAGTCTTTCCATGTGAGAGCTGTGGTGTGTGGTGGGTTCTTCCCCAGTTACCTGGCCACATCTCGGCAAATCTTTACAGCACTTCATTCAGAACAAGTTCTCTCTCCCAAGTCCCAGCCTCCCAAGAGTGACTGAGAACAGGGTTACCATGAAATGTGCCTCTTCTCATTCCTCAGGAGTAAAGTGGAGTGATCCAGTTTCCCTCATCTTTCCTGATGTCTGGATGTTCTATACTGGGCTGGAGCCCTTTGCTGGAACAGACATTAACTTGGTACTTCTCTCAGGAACTGTGAGGAGAACAGACTCGCCTGGCCATTTTAAGTTTTGTGAATATGAAAGAAAGTCCCTTAGTTCCTTGCTAGGATCGTTAGCCACAAACACGTAATTCAGCAAGACTCTCCCTATGTCCTCCTGAAGGAAGCTTCGCTTTTCATCCCAAGTTCTTTGTTTCAATGTTTTACCAGGGATTCTATCTTCACTGAAAGTCATGGGTCCCAGAAGAATGCAGCCAAGATCATGATTGTACTTACAGATGGGGAAATACTCCTGGATGAAATGAACTTGACAACAGTAATAAATTCACCTAAAATGGCAGGAATTGAGCGCTATGCCATTGGGGTAAGTTGGGAACATAGGTGGAGCATAGCTTGCTTCCATTCCTTGGTACCACCAGGGGCAGAGAAAAGGAGAAACTGATCCATGCATGGATCCAGTAAATACAGGAAAAGAGCATGTACAAAATAAAGAGCTGAGAGATAAAACTATAGTATGAGCTGATATTAGAATAAACAAATATAACTAAAACTTGTTCATGTCCAAAATCAATTGTTGGGTAGGACAAAGGTATATGTACGAGATTTAGCAGCAGCCTGTTTCGTGAGGATATTTTGTAAAGATTTGGTTCCAGGAGATGCTGAGAGTGCCCAATTCAGTGGCTTCCAAAGCAATTGCTCTTTCTGGGATTACATAGGATGGCTGAAGCCTTGTTTTTAGCACAAACTGTTGAATGACTCCAGCCCCAAGTAGATGGGAGTACGCAGGCTCTGGAGATTGCTTCTTTTGATTGATTTGGGTCTCTTCTGCAGGTGGGAGATGCCTTCAAGAAACCAAAGGCTCTAAATGAATTGCGGCTGATTGCATCTGGTCCAGATGATACTAATGTATTTCAGGTGACCAATTATTCAGCACTAGATGGGCTGCTTTCAACGCTACAGCAGAGTATTATTGGTATAGAAGGTAAACCACAATCTTTCTGCCTTAATAGTCTCTTCTAGAAGATAAGGAGAAAGTGGCTCACCCTGTTTTCATTGCATCCTCAGGTACTCAAGGTGATGCTCTAGAATATGAGCTTGCACAAGCTGGTTTTAGTGTGCAGATCCTGGATAAGGCAAGTGTTCTGCATTTAATTGTACTAAATGGCTGTATGTTGTAATGCTGTTTTCATATTCCTAGGAATTCAGGAGGTCTCCTCCAAGAAATAACACTGATAAAGAAATGTGAGAACCATGTAGTCAAATCTCTTTTGCAAGTCACTGCTTGCTTTGAATGTGTCAGATAAGCGAAAATACTCCTTTTGTATAGTTACTGGTGGGATTTATCACATGTGACTTCTAGCTGTCTAGATATGCTTCCTGTTTAATAGAACCATCTGAGTGCTTCCAAAGGGCAATTCATTCCTTCTTAAGATAGATAGAATCAGCACCTCTGAAGATGCTGAGCGCTCTTCAATTACTGTAGAGAAAGTCCAGATAACTAGCTTAGATTAGACATTAAACTTTAAGCCTGTAAGAATTAAAGGATACCTTTTGTGTCTAATTGACATTGCCTATTAATGCAGTGGAAGTACATAATATGAATTTATTAATATTAAAAATATTAATAAATTCAAATACATCCAGATACAAAAGAAGTACACACTGATAAAGCATATTGATTCACCTAAGTGCAGAGCAACAGATTAGGCCATGATCGTTTGGCGTCCAGACCCCTGTTCTAACCACTGGATCCTTTTTCTTCCATTGGACAAAAGAGCTAACTCCAGTTGATAGCTTTGGTTTTTCTGGCAATCGCACCTCCGAGGCACAAGTCAGAGGGTCCAACAAGTTGCAAATGAAATAATTTTACTCTTTCAGAATCCTCTGGCTTAAAACTTTGGTCCATCCAGGGCAAAAATGATCTCTGTTCTTGTCAAGAGGGGAAAACCAATAGGTGCTGAGAAGGTTAATGAGCATTCCGCAGTCTTGGTTGCAAGGCCAACAATGGTCCAGTTTTGCAAAAAAAAAAAAAAAAAAAAGTCGTCCAGTGAGCTCGAAGATATGTTAGAAGTCACTAGCCTTGGGGATTGGACTATATTCATTTGTTTTAATTTGCAATATGTTACTTCTGCAGCAAGTCTTAATGTTTGGTGCTGTGGGGGCCTTTGACTGGTCTGGAGGAATTCTGCTCTATGGACTAGCAACCAAGACAGCTGTTTTCCTGAATGAGTCTAAAGAGGAAGCCAAAAAAGTGAAATATAGTTACCTAGGTAAGCAGCTTACCTTTCTCTGAGATCAAATGACAATCTGACTGCAGTTTTGCTGTTTGTCTGTGTTTAGTACGCAGTGTGCCAGCACTGTCAATATTAATCTGACGAAGACTGTCTTCTGCAGGATCTTACTGTATGTCTGATATTTTCTCTAGCAGGGAGAGAGTTTCTGATATAAAGACTCCTTTTCTCCTTGTTGTTGGGAAGACAGGTCTTTTTTCACTTATGAGTTATGCCTTGTGGTATTGTTCAGTTAACGTGTGCCACTTGGTTGTACTGTGCAAGAACACTTGCAATGAGGGGCATTTTTGAAAGTTGATAAGGATAAATATTTTGCTTGTAGTGAGTGCCTGGAGAACAAATAGCTTGTGAATCAATACTGTTCTTGGCTTGGTGACAAATAAAGCTTTGCTTATTCACACCAGCGCTTCATAGTCTCCCGAGTCCTAGATCTCCTGACTGCAGCCTTGGTCTTAAAGTCTTTCCTGCTAATGTCGGGTGCTGTGGACTGTCTGTATCTTCAGGATAGCCCTTCTCCCATTACTTCCCTTTTTCAGAAACCCCTGAATGGTTCTATTTTTGCATTCTATGTGGAGTGTAATGTTTCCTTCACTTCTGTGTAGGCTATTATACCTGCCAGCTTGCAGAGATAATAATTAATAAGAAACAAGGTGTAGTCACTCAGAAACTGTGATAAATGCCGAGAAGAGTCAGCAGGAGTTCAAGTAGGTTTTTCAGAGCAGAGGCTGCAGAGACCCAAATTTATTCAATTGCCAGACAAGCTGTTAAGAGAAGAAAACCTCAGCTTCACTGGCTTTTCTCTCAGAGAAGTTACTGGCTGTTTCCTAATCAGTATTTTCATGAGATGCTCTCGAATCAAACCTGTGCGCCAGAACAACTTGACATGGTGTGAACTCTGCATCTCATTGATGCAGGTCCATGTCTCTGTAAAAAATTTTGTGGGCTTTTTTTCTTCAGACGTAGAGTATGATACCGAGAATGCATAATATTTTTGCTTCTTGTGTGAAAACACCAGGATACAGCATGGCAGTGGTAAACACAGGATATGGAGCCTTGTATGTGGCTGGAGCTCCACGGCACGGCATGACAGGGAAGGTGTTAGTGTTTCAGGATGGTCTCTTAAAACAGACTCTGCAAGGAGAACAGGTACTGTGCTTCACTCAAACGGGGGCAGTCGGGTCAGTGGGTTGACAAAACATCACCATGCTCAGTAGAGTTAGGTGGGTTCCATGCACCCATATTGCTCAAACACGTTGCACATTTGCAGCCACGTTTTCGCTTCCAGACTTTACCCTTTAAAACAAGAGTAAAGCTACTATAATCCTTGCTGAGTAAGAAGTGGGTGATGTAGCTAGTACTTGCATGTAGCAATTGTTTGAGTAAATCCATTAGCTCTGTTATTCAGTGAAACCTGGAAAGGCCAGGCAGCCTCTGTTGATTCTTTTTCTGTATGCATCTTCTTAACCGAGAACTTTTCCTGCCTTTTTTCATGTGAGATCTGCTGAAGTCAGAGCTTCTGGAACAAGTTGTTCAGCTGGGGAAAATTATCAAAGTTCAACTGTCTTCAGCAGGCTGATGGAGGGTATTCCACCATGTTTTTCCACTGGTGTTAGAGGTCTCATAAGTAGGAACCAGGGAGCTGTCAGGCATCTGATTTAGCCAAATGTGTATGTTATACAATCTTTGTTCATTCCATAATGAACTTCTGATGCTTTAGGAGCATCAGAAGAAGTCAAGAAATTTGGAAAAAAAACTGGGAAGGTGTTTAGCTCAATGGGTTGTACTATATTTGTTTTCTAGTCTTATGGCCCATGGAGAAAGGCTTTCAACTGTGGCCTTCTCCTTTTTCTTCTGTCTAATTTTTGAATAATGATGTTGGTTCTGGTATGCTGGTTACAGAATCCCTCCCTGAGGGTGGCTGTAATATATAATAAATAATAGGGAAATTCTATGCATATAAATAAGTATATAGGTAATGCTTCATTCTAAAAATTGCCTTCCTTGTGTGCAAAGGACACTGATTTTACAAAGCTAGATAAAGAGAATTCCAGTGTAAGAGCTGCTTGTCTTTTTCTGGAGCACAGGTTGGATCTTATTTTGGCTCTGAGCTCTGCCCGCTTGATGTGAACCATGATGGGGTGACAGATCTTCTCCTCGTTGGAGCTCCGTTCTATCACATCCGAGGGGAAGAAGGAAGGGTTTACGTCTATCGCCTGGAGACAGAGGTAAAAACACTGGTAGCGTAAACACTCCACATTGGGGATTTTCCAACCATGCCTAAGTAGTGACAAATAAAACATTCCTCCTTTGTGCTCTCACTGAATGTGCTCTCCCTGTATGGTAGAGGACTGCAGGGTGAAGCCAGAAGCCCTCTCTTAGTCATTAGAGTATGAAAGAGAAATAACTTTAAAAAAAAAACAAAAAACAAAAAAACCCCGTTCTGTAACCTAAGGTACGCTGATATCTCAATGTGGTGAAATTATATCTGTTGCCTGTACATAGGCAATTTGTTGGTGCTGATCTTGCTCTGCCAAGCAATGTTCTTTACAATGTTTGCAATAAATATGTGGAGACAGCTGCTATGCAGTTGCTTCCCAGGGACTTCTAGAAAACAAAATGCTTTGTGGGCCCAGCTGCTAACTCCAATATACAATGTGCAAAATATATTTATTTGGGTCATTCTGAATAAGAACTGAACACACTTTAGCAGCAGACCAGGGGAAACCCTCTTTGTTGCACTCCTAAAATTTACTCAGGGCACTTACTGGAAGCAGAAAACAGAGTCCTGGCATCCACTGGAAGTCAAATAACGTGCACCCTCTTGTGGCTTATTTTTATAAGACGATCCAGAAGATGGGATGGTTTTCATCACTATGAAACAGGCTAGGAGTCAACTCAATCTCCTATTAACTTAATAACAGACAGTGCTTCAGAGTGTCTGCTTGCCTAGGGCTGCCCAGAGATGCTGCTTCCATGGGAGAATTTTCATGCTCTCAATGAAGAAGGATCAACCTTTTGCTCTATGAATTAGCTGGGATCTTGAACTGCCTAATATATTGTTTAGAGTGTTGTTCTTCTCCTTTAAGCAATGTCAGTGCACAGTGAGGTCTTCTTTCATGTAAGAGCTACTCATGCTACCCTTGTTGTAAATGGGATTCCTTACTGGATGTTTTTTCAGACTGGTTCATTCACCTTGGAAGGACACTTAAATGGGCAGGTGACCTCTCCTTTTGCAAGGTTTGGGTTTACTGTGGCCAGCATTGGAGACATCAACAGGGATGGATACGAGGACGTTGCAGTTGGAGCCCCCCTTGAAGATCAGCTTTCAAACAGTTCCTCTTTTGGCAGTATTTACATCTTTAATGGTGATAAAGACAGGATCAAAAGCTCTTTTTCCCAAGTAAGTGTCATGTGTGTGAATTGCCTCCAGTATACCTCGAGAGGGAGGTGGTTTTGTAGCAATGAACTGGGAGGAAGGGCTTCCACGTTTCATTTGCAATGATAGGTGAGAAATTTACACATCAGATGACTTGTGTTACTCCACAAAGCAGAACTGCTCCTTAATCTTACTTGTCCACTTGCCTGCTTAGGCAAGGGAGCTGGGTTCAAGTGCTGCTTATAAAAGAGCATATCCTTTTGCAAGGCTATATCACATTTTGCTGCCATTCACTACAGGAAGTTAGCTGTCAATATTTTGTGCGTCAAGAGTGTTACAAAATCATCCTCACAGCAGCCTCATGAAAAGAAATATACTTTCCAAAGGACAAGTGAGATAACCTAACTTATATTTGTTTGGTTTTTCCCCATCAGAGAGTAAAAGCCTCTGAAATTTCTCCAGAACTCCAGTATTTTGGACAATCCATTGATGGTGGCTTTGATTTCACTGAAGATGGTCTCCAAGATATTACAGTAGGATCACTGAAGAATGTGGTTTTGCTCCGGTAAGTAATAAGTGCTGCTTTTTAGTGCATTGGGGGATGCTTCAAAGATATATTTGGAATCTGTATTTCAAGCATTGTGTAAAGATTCTAGTTCAGCATCAGAGGGACATATAAAATCTTCCCCAGTGCTGCAGTAAGTTGCATAAAATATGAAGCCTTTCCCTCAAGCTGCAAAAGCTTTTTCCTTTAAATGTCTAAAGCTTTGAACAAGTATCAGATAGTTCACGTGAACTGATTGTAACGTTGATCCAGGCGTAAGTAGACCTTGATGACTGCAGTTCAGCACTGATAATTTAGGTCACTGAGACAAAATAACTTCTTTATGGACTGTGCTTCATTTTCAGTCAGGCTTCTGATGACTGGAATGACTTCCAGAGTTCACAAGCACTAAGACATGGCAGAGAGGTTTGATTTTTGTTCTTGCATTTTTGTGCTTGAAAACAAATTGTAGAGGGGGAAAAAAGGAAAAAAAGAGAATTTGTACCACTAGATAATGGATTTATCTAGTGGAGAGATAAAAAAAAAATGTATCTAATTCTGAAACTTTAGCCTTATTGGTGTAATTTGGCTGCCTGTTCCTTCATAGTCTTGGGATTTTATGTATTCTCAACATTTCCAGGCAAAATTGGAACTTTTGTAAATGGATCAACTTGGTCCAGGTGAAATAATTTTGGAACAATGAGCATTTCTTGTTCTTCTTGTCAGGTTTTCTTAGATCATTTCTCCTGTAACGTTTCAGTCTGAAAATTTGTATTTGATTCTGTTTCTTATCTGTTCTTCACTGGACAGCTCCAGACCAGTTGTCCATTTTCTCACCAGCATGACGTTCACCCCTGAGAGAATATTAATTTTCCATAATAACAGCATCATTACTGCAAAACTGTGTTTCAATATAATCTCAGCGTTACCAGCATCCCAACAAGGTAACAAATGGGAATTGTGATCAGACTGAAATGTACACTCCTACACTGTCTTTGGAAACTCGGGTGTGAGGGCAATTTTTGGTACAACTAATAAAATTATTTCTCCTGACAGAAATTAGAGAGACAAATTCACTATTGCCAGAAGTAAGCAAAGCTTTATTGAGGTTAATGAATTTGCTCCTGCTTGATTCTAGGAGAGGATGTGGTGCTTGAGTATTGGTTCTGCTTGTCTTCACAAACAACCTTTACGGTAGTTTTCTTTTACAATCTGAGCACAGCTGTAATATGTACTCTCAGCAACAGATGATAGACAGTAAACCAAAACCATTTACGAAGCCAAGGATCCCGTTATTCAAAACTGGACTATCACGAACATAGTATACTTGGGAGAAATTAAACATATTTTTGGGATCTGGGATCTTGTACCTCAGAGCCTAAACTTTCAGAGTTTCTGCAGGAAGCAAATAAGAGTCTTTCCATTTCACTTGGCTTGTGGGAAGCTGTTGGGAATATATCACTGTATTTTTTCCTCCTCTGTGAATGCTGCCAAGCAGAGGTCTCAGTTACCCTTCGTTCACTGACTCTTCTGCAGTTCTGTTGCTTTGTTCTGAGCACACGGGAAAATCCTGTCTGTGCTTCCAGTGTTTTCGCAGTTATACGTTCTCTACATGGTGGACTTAGATGTGAAAATGCCAAAGAAGAGAGTGCAGTTTGAAGATCAGAACACCACAAGAAGCGGACAGCTGTTGGTCAGCAAGGACATGTGCTTAGAGCTGCAGCTCTACGTGCTGGTAGGTGATATTGATTAGACTTACTACAGAAGAAGGGCTAAGAGGAAAGGATGCATTACAGAATCTGCCTGAGGATGAATCTTTCTTGAAATATAAAAAACCCCCTATAATTAGATGGAGTTTTCTGGGTGTTAGATTTCCTGAGCAAGTTCACAGCTGAGACAGGAGATGCCACATCGGCCATTTTCATTTGTATTGCTAAAAATCGAAGTCTCATCGTTTTGAATGTAAGCACATGAGGTATTCATAATCACAAGAATTGAGGAAAGGCATGAAGCTCTACAGGATTAAAGCAAACGTATGGAAACTATTTGTCACAATGCATAACTGAAATGTAGAATACGTTACCCATGGGGTGTCATGGTAGCCAAATGTATAGAATGATCCAAAAAAACATTTGACAAGTTATGGACCACTGGTGGCTATTAAAAACAATGGCCTAAAGGCAGCCTCTGAGCCAGAAGATTGCTAAACATGCTAGTTGACAGAAACTGGAACAGAATGACTGGGGGAAAGTTGTTCTATATTTGCCCTGTTTCTTACACTATTTCACTCTGTAATTTTGCTTCCCTGTATTTATAATTTAGGAAGCAGAACAGCCATGCAGAGAAGACAGGTACACACCGTTTTGCATTTTAATGCCCAGATACTTAACTTTTTGTTCTTTCTTTCTTGTAGCCATGTGACTTCAACTGCTTTTCTAGTGTTATTCTCAGAGTTAAACACAAGCTCTTTAATAAAAACAGTAATGCGGAATTTGCTGTTCCTATGCTGGATAGGTATCAGCCATCCGAGATGCATTTTCAGGTAATCAAATAAAAGCTTAGCCAAGAGCTTTCTCTCCTTCTAGGATCCATAGCCTTTCTCTTTTAAAAAAAAATAAATAAATAAATGTGTGCATGTCTTCCTCTCTCCCTTGCTCCCTTTTTAGTTGTAAGTACTGTATTCTAGGTAGACTTTAGGCTCAGGTTTCCCCACAGCAGATATTCATAACCTGTTAGGACAATCTTGTCTCTAATGTCCAACCTCAGATCTGCTACAAAATTGCTTTGATTTTGACCACAGCAATTCTTCTATACCTCCATATAAAATGAGATTTAGATGCTTACTCTGAAGAAGGCAGCGATGGTTTGTGTGTTTTGTGAAGTACTTTTCACATACTGAGTTCTACATTGGAACTTTTATTAAGACCTGTCATTTGAATGATGTATTTGGTAGTAACGCATAAACAACTTATTAAACAAAAAAAAAATTAATCCTGAAAAAATGAATGCTTCTTTTTAGTTTGAATTTAGTTGTTTGAAACCGTATTTGGTAGGCTGCAAACTTATAATAAGCTTAGCCTTTAAGTCTGATATCCTGTCTCCTCACTTGCTGTTTAGTATCAGGATTCTTGCAAGCTAATCCAGCTCTTTTTCACAGTTAGCCTGAAAACTAAATCACAACTTCTTTTTAAAAAAAAAAAAAAAAATTTCCACAAAGCTCTGTAAAGAGGCAGCTTTTTGCTACTTACTAGGTGTTTTTACTGCAATTCAATATTTAATTAACAATCCATCAAGCATAGGACAGAGGAGTTAGAACAACATTTAGCGCTAAGCAATAATGAACACTCATTACTATGATAACAGTGATTATGATGTTGATGATACATTTATTTCATAAAAATAATTCATGAGATTCTTGACTGTTGGTCAGCACTGCTACTGGGTTTAGTACCTGTGCACCCAACAGCTAATTATTAATTATCAATGAACTTTTCCAGGAATGTCAGCCACAGACATATTCTCATGGATGAAAAAACAATTGTGAAAGACACTGGGAAGTAACCTCATCTCTACAAAACAGCACATCTAGAAGCTTGCACAGCATATTAATGTGTTTATTCAAGAAAAACATGTCATTTGGGAAAAAAGAATAGTATTATTTTAGCTAACAAATTTTTTTTACCCGACTGGCTTAGACAGTGACTCCTGTGGCAAGTCACAGGTAAACTGGCATCTCTTTAACAAGCCCTTGCCCCAGTGAAGACGTTCAATGTTACTGCTAATACATCTTTTTCTGGGAGCTGAATTACAAGACGTCATCAACTTGAGAGTGACTCACCACTAGAGGGTCCTCTTTCTTCCAGCTTTTCCTTAAATGACATGATGGGAATTTCGGTTTTCAGAGGAGGACTCTTGTATGTATGTGTATATGTAAAGGTATTTTAAATCTGCTACCTTAGAAAAATTAAGACAGTTAAATTTTGACTTGATCTGTGTTTGTTTTCAGTTGCCTTACAAGAAGGACTGCAACAACAAGACCATCTGTACTGCTCATTTAACTTTGACAAGTCAGATTCCGTGAGTCAAAGCAGTTGTGTTATCCACTTTTTGCATATAGCATTCATATGAAATGTCATCTTTGTGTGTAAGGTGTTCTGTCAAATTCTCAGACAAGATTTAATGTCCCTTTGCTTACGTTAATTTTCCATCCGCTTTATTCTTTCTGTAAGACTACATTCATATAATACTGTAACTGTATGCCTCCCTGGGCATTGTTGGGCCATCCTAGAAAATCTCAGAGGAGAGACCAGGGTTTAAACAGCCGAAGTCATCCTAAAATCACAATTCTGGCATTTGATTGTAAACATCTGATTTTGTTTTAGACTGATCCATAGCATAGCACTAGGGCAAAGAGTCGCTCTGCTTATATAGCCTAAGGCAAAATGGTAGGCATCACTTCATTGTAAAAAGTTACTCTGGAGATTCATGGAAAAGCTAATCAAATGGAGAAAGGTTTAAAAGCCATCTAGATGTAAAACAAAGTGATAAAATGTTATGTAAGGTTTAGAGATGGCTGCCTTCAGTAATAAGAAGGAAGCATTTTCCTACACACCCTGGAGAATACTGAATAATTAATTGGGCTATTGCATTATCCTGTGTGTGAAAGCATTTAGGGGGAGCAATTACTAATACCAGAATGCCTTATGTCTCTTATTAAATAGCAACCCTTAGAAGTTGTATGTCACCTATCTCATTTTTCTGTCTGCTTCTAGAAAAGAATTAGTAGTGGGCCACACTAAAGAAGTGACTGTGAATTTTTCCCTAACTAACAGCGGAGATGACTCTTACATGACAACTATGGTTTTGAACTATTCTAAAAACTTACATTTTAAAAAGATGACTGCTGAGGTAAGATCATGGAAGAACTATTTATCTAACAGCAGATCACTGAAAGAAAGCCTAGCTCAGACTCCTATTCACTTACTACATAAATAAATCTTGAAGGAAGGTCAGTTGTTCAAAGATAGACACGTGAGCAGCTTCTTGCAAAACTCATCTGTGTGGCATCATTAAAAGGATCTATAATAAGACAAACAGGCACACGAAAGTAGATGAGGACTTTTTTGGTAATTTACCACGGTTCATGCATGAGTAACCCATATTCTTTCAGAATCTTTTAAATCCTGTTATTGACTGCTCTGGAGTCGTGAACAAATTCTGCATCACCTAAAAATGAAGGCATTTATCTATATGATAAAGGTCATGATAGTTTTGGTTGTCTACATGATTTGAGAACCAATGTACAGGAAAGCAGGTGAAATTGACAGTTTTCTGGGTTGCTAAAAAAAATTATTGTCTAGGTTAGAAATACTGAAGATAAACACTGACTTCTAGTCAGTACTGAGACTGGTTCTTGGTCTAGTATAGGCATCACATTCATTTAATATAGAAAGTACACAGAGCAAAGGAGAAAATTAAAGGGAATTAAAAAGCTGTCTCTGCTGCTTGCAAGGAATTGGCCAGCCTCAATTAGTGCATTCAGAAATGACATAAATACATGTAATGGCTAAAAGTAAATTATGATTATTGTAATGCATTAAATTAGAGCAGCACCAAGAGCTCTGGATATTTTTGCAAGCAAGTCAGATAAGTGGTTTCTGCCAGTTAATATTTCCATTATTCACATTAAAATTTTCAAGCTCTTCATCCATTTTTTATGAAGGACAGGTCTTTAAGCACTGGACTCTATCCAGAGCTGTAATGCAGCACAGAATTTATTTGTGGAACATATATGCAATAGACACTTGAGACTGTAGAGCAACTTCTTCTAATCTGAGAGCCAATCTGTTAATGCCAGTCTCACTTATCCAACTTCCTTCAGGTGTTCTGGCAGCCTGATGGACCTGCTTAGCCCATACGAGAACTATCTGAATAAAATGCTCCAAAAAGGAACCTGGGGGAGTGGGGAAGGCATTTCAGTGATGTTAGGACTGGAGCCTGATTAGAGTATTTATCTGATTTAAGACTTCCAAGTTTTTGTTGGGCTATTTGTACCTAATTCATTTGATGGGAGCAGACACAGACTGAACTGCATTTCTCAGTTCATTTTTATTCAATATTAAAGAGCATTCCCATTCTGCTGGCAGCCATCCTCTCCAGTTATTCATTGTGGTCAGCCAGTACCATCCACTTCTATAGCCTCGTCCTTAAACTGCAGAATTGGGCATCCAATATTCAATAAGACAACTGTAAGTAGAGATCATTATTTTCATTTTCTCCTACTGCTTATTATACTTTGAGTTGCTGGTCTTGCATCCTTTATCTTTACAGCTTGGCCATAGCCTCTGTTCTTTCAAATACAGCTTGTAACTACTGTGTAATTTCTCAAGGCTACAGACTGTTTTCATACTCTTGTACTTCACTGACTTTTCCACCTTCCACAGTAATGTCTAACCCCTCCGGAAGGGAATGCTGAGCAGAAAATGTATTAGCCATCGTGTTTCAGCAGTACCCTGGTGAGTTAAAAAGAGAGCATTTACAGAGTAATCAGTATTTTCTTATGTCTTTCTCTTCCCTCAAAATAGGCAAATTTTTCAGTGATTTGGCAATTACGTGAAACCGTGTTCCAAAATAAGTCTACAATGATTGTTAATGTCACCAAGTGAGTATTGCTGTTTTCACCACAAAATATACTGCGCACTAAAAAGGAGATAAAAGAATTCCTGCTCGGCGTACAAACTACTTATCAGTCACTAGTTCCATGTAACTATACTTGTTCTTCTCAACCTCCTAAAGCATTTGGTTCTGGGTGACAAATGTTTCCTTCCCTCCTGCTAATTTAGTCTTGCTCATATTTCATTATTTCAGTAAATTAGGACCTTAAAAGGAGCTGTATGTTTTAAGTGTAGCACATATTTACAAGCTTGTGTTTTGTTAAATGCCAGATTGCATCCTGACATCCTCCTTCCTTAGGAGTGAGAACAGATAAGCAGTATGTATAACAGCTCTGTTTCAAGATGATCTTTCATTTAGAGGTCCCAAATGACTGGGATGACAATATACATTTGGGGTATTTTTCATGATCGAGGGCTTTCTAATGCGGGGAAGCTACAGTTCAGTTTCCTCAGTTGGCACGTTCCTTCTTTTCCTCCCATTAAAATTAATGGTAACTGGCTGATACTCAGCACTTTTAAACAGAGAGCAAAGAAAAACAAAACTAAGCCCTGGTAGTGGAATTTCATTGCAAGCACGGTTTAAGGCAAAGGTCTCCATATGAGTTTAATGACCAGCCTTGTGAAGGGTGGAAGCCTCTAATTTTGACTGATGAAAGCAATACTACTATTCACGTTTGTGATGGTTTGTGGGGAAGCGTTTCTAGGCAATAGCAACTTTCTGAAACGGTAGTGCTGAAGGGCTGCTCCAACAACCATGTCACTCCATAGGACAGTGGGCTGGCACCTATCTCTTCATTATTTATTGCCACTGTATTTTTCCATCCATCTTGTACAGGAAATATTAGTGGTTCTCAAACCATAGAAATGAAACATCGAGGCAGGCAGCTAGTAATGTTTTCATCCATCCTGCTTTTTTCCCCCAGCGTAAACGAAAACAGCACCATTCTGACTGAAGAGCACGTCCTTGATATCAGATATGCGTTCATTGCAGTCCTTACCAAGTAAGTTTTAGGTATATTCAATTATATTGTTTTTACATTAGTCAATTAGAGGAAAGAGGATTGAGATCACAATATCACTTCCATTTTAATTGTTTCAAGCACTGCAGATTGGCAGGTCACTTTCTCTAGTACCAGACAGCAAAAGCGGGGAGAGTCTGGAAAACAGAACTATAAAACCCTATCATAGGCAGCGGGTGACTAAGGGCAAACACAGACTCTCTATTTAACTTGTAAAAAGTAGACTTCAAGAGAGCTTCAAAGATGCATCTGATTTATACACAGACTGCATATGTACACATATATGCACAGACTAGAAAGCATTGGAATGCTAGCGTTCCAGTTCTAACAAATCTGATGATGCTACACCTTTATTGCTTAATGCATCTGGGTCATTGGATGCACTGGCTTTCAATAATAACGTAATTTGACGTTCACTTAGTTTGATTTATCTTTGCCTACAGACCAGTTTCCTTAATGTATGTGAATGTTACTCAAGGACTCCTTGAAAACAAAGAGTTCAAATTTAATGTAAGTAGAGATTCAAATTCAGTTAATCTGGTCCATCTTCAATCAGGACTAAAAAGTACTCGTCTTGTGCGTTTCCCTCTGTAGATAAATGGAGAAAATCGCTTTAAAGCTACCATCAAGTTACAGATTTGGGTTCCTATCCGTTTACATGGTCACAACATCATAAGTGTGAAAAATGCAACAGGAACACAGGTACATTTTCTTATTTGTTTTTCATAATCTGATACCTCTTCACTGGTCTTTACAGAAGAAAAACAGATTATTGCAGATTAGAATGTTTCTAAAGCTATATTACAGAAACTATAAATATTTACATCTTGTAGTACTTTTCAGTGCACAAACTTTCTCAAACTGAACACAAGCTCATTTTTAAAGTGAGTCATAGGTGTCTTTTCCCCCTTTCTATCCGCAACCGAGCTAACAATATTTACTTTTTTTGTTTAAACACTGGACAGTGAGAACAAAAGTAAGAAAGACAATACAATAATGAAAGAGAACTTTTTAATATACTAAAACTCAAAAGGTAAGACTATTTGTTTGATTGAAAACAGGAAGTAAGCCTGAAGAAATCCCCCCCACAAAGTCAAGTCTTTTCTCTTTTCCCCTCTCCCCTCAAAAAAGTCTATCTGCAAGCATATTAAGGCCAAAGACTTCCCTCCCACCTTTTTTTTTTTTAAAGTATATTTTTGATAAATTATACACATTGATAACCCATGGACATCATAACACTTCTTCATTGCGCCAACATTTAAAAAGATTATACATAAAAAAAGAGCAAAGGGGAGGGCAGCACTGGTAACTTCATTTGTGGAAATACTGCACTCCCTTACTCACTGGAACAAGCTGCTGTTATGCAAAACCTCACTTGCAGAACCAAAAGTTAGTACTTCTTTATGGAACTTAATGAGCTGCTGCTTTATTTTTTTCATGGCAGAAGTTGATTCCTTTTTCTTGTAGACCACTTCTTTCAGAAGTTTATCTGACAAGTAATGCAGCCAAAGGACATTGCTGTGTGGATGATAGTCAGTCCAGCTGTTGGAGTTCTCCACTTTCATTTGCCTGTAGATATCAAACTGGTAGTCCCCTGTGCCTTGGAATAGATCTTCATCAGTGGAAAGGTCACAAAACACAGTTAACCCATCTTTCTCTAGCCGAGACAAGGTATAATCAATGATGTTGACGTGGATCCCTGCTGTGGGGATAGTGCATACGGCCCCATTCAAGACATAATTAAGCTCCTTTACGTCTGTTCTCTTCACCAGCACATTCCCCCAGTGCAAGTCTCTGTGCTCAAAGTGCAGTTCCTGTTCTGCCACAGCCAGGGAAGCAGTGACCTGGTGCAAAATGCTTTTTGCTGATGCCACCGAATTTAACTTCTTTTTCATGTTCTCCAAATCATTGCCTCCAAATTCAAATTCTAGAACCATGAAGAGTTGCTCATCCCCAAAAAGGTCTGGCCGATCATTTTCTGATCCTGTTACTTTGTGATAGTTGTCCCAGGCTTCCAGGAGGTGCTTAGGATAAGCCCCTTGAACGCAGTGCACAGAGTACAAGCTAATGAACCCTACAGTCCCATTCACGGACTCTTCAGACAGAAGACTGAGTTCCTTTGAAATTATTATCTCAGGTAGAATCTCTCCAAAACTCTTTTGAGCTTCACCGTTTACTCTTTTGGTGCCCTCAATGGGGATTATTTTTAAGGCCACAGGTCCTCTCTCACTGTGGGTCCGGAAGACCTCCCCAAACACCCCTTCCCCAATTTTCTGGCAATTTTTCATCTTATCTAAGGGAATGCATTCCTCAAAAGAGATGGGCCCCTCTTGCTGGCATTCCCCATATACCTTCTCTGCATCTGTAAGCATCATCTCTAGGAGAGAACAGGAATTCCTGGGAGCCAGCAGGGCCATGGAGGAAGCAGACCAAGTACAGCACTGAGCTTTATCAGCAGAGAGGGTCATTTGGGGCCCTGAAAGCTGGGATTTCATTGAAGGAGTACAAAGGATGCTGTTGCAGAAACTCTCTTCCGTAGCAACTTTCTTTTTCTTATGGAAGGACAAAGATGCTCGAACCCTGCCCCAGCAATGGGAGTTATTGAGGAAAGAACCGTCATTGTCTCTTACAGCTGCAGACATCTCCAGAACGTTCTTCATCCCTTTTTGCCTCATTTGTGGTCTGAAAAAGGAGTTATTAGCCTGATGCTGTCTCTTATTTTTGTGCCTGTTGGGGCGGAGCCTTGTCTGTCTGCTCCACCGGCTGGAACTGAAGCCACTGATGCAAGCCTTTCTACAGGTACTTCCATCTCCAGGAATGACCTTGCTGCTTTTGTATTTCATCGCCAAGATTCCTCGCAGGCCTAAAGGAGAAACTGGCTGCTGGCAGGAAGGTTGAATATCTGCCTGTTCATTGAGTTTCATGCCAGTCAAACACATTGGCACTTCTTGAGGGTCCAAGACCACCACCGGTGTGAGCGGGCCTCTCTGACGGCTCCCGCTTCCTTTTCCCGGGCCTCTCCTCGGTTCGTCGCGCGGTCCTTCGGAACCGGCGCCATCGCACGCTACGGCCCGCTGCGGCTCACCGTGCTGGGCAG